ATATTGCTGTATTCCTGGTTTTGAGAGGAAAAATACGTTACTTCAAACGGCTCAACTTTTCTGGAAAGCAGAGAGAGGGAGGTATTTTCACAAAATACTCCAGCAGAGCTTGTACGTGATGAGTAATTTGTTAATTGGCTTGCTAGGAGTCATACTCTTCTATAGCCTTTGAAGAAACTTTCACCTGCATGAATTTCTCAATACATGAGTCAGGTATTGGAACCGAATGCTACAATGTGTTTCTACTCTGAAGAAAGGCTTTGGGTTTTGGAGGTTTTTTGTTGCTTCCTAAAAAGATTTTATGAGGCTAACCAAAGTGTCTGCAATTTCCACATTGTACATGTAAGAGCCCTTGAAGTCTTTGCTGTTTAAGTAAAAAAGATCCATTAGTGTGCCACTTCCTTAATGATATTCCTCTGGTTAGGTCCCTTTCAGTATCCTGACATTTGGTGTTGGAACTTCTCATGTATGGGTTTTAGGTACTCTGTCAGCCAGTTCTTCATTACTCTTCTGTCCTCTAGATACCTATTTTCCTTACAGACATTTGAGGTATAGGAGATGCTGCTGTCTCTTTTCAAGTGAGGGGCCAGAACACAAAGGAAATGGTGTTACACCATCTGTGATAGAACAATACCATGGATTAATTTCTCTTGCACTTTAAAGTTCATGGTGTAAATACTGGTTTGTTCTTCTGACCAAAAGGAGGTGAATGTGAGAAGATGACATTTACAATACAGTCTAGAGAAAATTAAATGGGAAGAAGTCCAGTGAGTGTTATGCACATATCCACTCTTCCTTGATTCTGTTATGTGCATCTCAATCAAATATTTTTTTAACAACTTATCAATAATATAAACCACCATATCTTTCTATATTTTTTTTTTATTCCTTCCTCCCTTCCCTAGAGGCTTTCATTTTGTTCCATTAGTTAAATAATCCACAAGAAATTTGAAATCTCTTCACTGTTTTCTTCTATGGTTTCTAGCTAATCAGGCTTGTACCGTATGGCTCATTTGGCTAGAATGGAGCATGAGATAATCATCAGGAAGAAAAGGTAGAGGAAATCTGATGAGCATGTGTATTCCAACCATTCTCTTTCCAGTGTGTCTCTTCAATTCATTAAAAAAAAGAAAATGAAAACAGGGAATGAAGCATTTGCAGTTCACATTTTCTTTCAGTATGAAATTTGACTTGGGGATGCAATTTTTGTCTCTCTAAAATGTTTAATCAACATCTTGCTATATAAATTCTGATGTTTCTTATATATATATTTTTAGTATATACTTGTAAGCATAACCTGGAAAAGCAACTAACAATGCCCAGTATGGAATCATAGGTGTGAGTCATGAGTGGAAAGCTGCATAATGGCAGTGAAGTTTAGACAGGCAAACATTTGGTTCGTGTCTCTTTTGGTATCTGTTAAATTTCTTCTTCTTTCTCAATATTTCTGATGGAAGATGTCCAGACTCAGCATTTAGGTACAGTTCCAAATTATGTTAGGCACAGATTTATTTTAGCTCACATATAAAAAAGTTACGTTTTTAAGGGCAAGACCTAAATTTCCTCAGAATTTAGGGGCTTTGGAAGTTCTGTTTCATCAGGGTGCATTCTGTACTGCTTGGAAGTTTTCCCAACTATCGTTTGAACTCACAGTATTAAAACAAGCCAAAAAGATGTAATTTCATATGTACTATAATATCATTTTCTGATTTTGATGATTGTGACTGGAATATACCTTGTTACAGAAACAAGTGATTTTTTCCTTAAAACAAAAAAAGAATGGCACCTATTTCAGCAGGTGTACACTCTTTCAAAGAAGCTATTACCCAGCTGCAACCCTGTCAGATACAGGTTATTTGATGTCTGCATCAGTACATGAGTAATGTTCCAGCATTCGTAATGGCACATCACCTGAATACTGGAAGATGTGTTTACTACAAGTCCTTCACTGAGTTTTGCTCTACTAAGAAACATCCATACGATCTGTAGCCCATAGTGCACAGGTGGATGAGCAGTAGCAAGAAGCACCCTGTGGATAGCTTGCTATAGCACCTGCAACATCTCAGAGAAAGCCAAAATGCTCACTAACTGCATCCAGATCACTCAGAACTGCAGGTCAGGCCCATCTTTAAGAAATCAGACTTTACACTTGCTCTGATTTATGGAGTTCTGCTGTTGTGCTAACACTGTAAATAAGCCATATTATAGAAGGATGTTTCACTCTTCTTATCAGGTACATGTATATCCTCTTTTAATTATACATTGGAGTATCTTTTCATTAATTTTTAGGGAGGGAAGAGAATGTATTTATCCTGATAAACACAGGTGGTTAATTTGAGGTTTGGTTTGGGTTTTCTTCCCCTCTCAATACTTTTGGCACAGCAGAAAACAATCTTTTTATGACTGGAAGAACACAAAGGGCTCCTCCTCTCTTGAGCGTGCTACAAAACACATTTTGTGCTTCTTAATAAATTCTTTAAATAGGCATCATGCAGTGAGATCCTATGCATCCTCCCCAGCCCTGTCTGTAGCCCAGTAGTGCAATTACAGGGAATTCTGTTCTAGCTGTGAGCTACAAAATGTTAATTCTTTATATATGCGGAGTCAGGAGCTTGGAACATATATCTGTAGTAAAAAAATTGTGACCTGTTTTCTCCGGATTATAGCAGATTTGGAAAACCAATTATTTTGGACAGTTCTTCCCTTGAATGGTGTCCTTGAACTGTATCCTTTTGTATGTAAATGTCTCAAAGAGTAGCTGACATTCCTGAGCTCCCTCACAGCTGGGTTGCAGCAAAAAAGATCTGGGAGTCTGAATAACTTCCTTTTATTCAGACTTAAAGCAGATCTTCTGCATATCCAAGTCTTCCTGCTTAGGCATGGTGTACCTTTATGGTTATGCATTGGCCTGTTGTCTAAGGTTGGAATTGGATTTCTTTTTTTTTCCTGTTAAAGTAGCTAATTTGTACCAGCAAATAAAAGATTTTTAGCTATAAAGCTTTTCTACTTTGTCTGAAAATACTGTTGTTATCTTAGTATACTCTATTTGTTACAACTTTTTTCTTGTAGTGCTTTTTCAAAGTCACAAGAACTAGAAGAGGAAGTTTTAAACTGGGGAACTTTTTATCTTTGAAATTGCTTATCGTCTCTGTGCTTCCTGCCTGTACTTTTTTCATACTTTTTTGATACAGTTGCTGCCACAGTCGCTCCTGCAGCGTCACTCTCCAGTAGTCCCATTGTATTAATCCTGGAACTGCCTCTTCAGATAAATTGGATCATCTTTAAGGTTCAGAGAATTATTTCAGGATGTTATTGCTGGGCAAGCAGCTGACCTGATATTCTTTCCTCAAAGAGAATACATAAGGTTCTCTTTCCATCATACGTACTTGTTCTGCATGATTTCAGTACATCTGGTTTGAAGTCAGTATTTTAGTCTTTGCTTTAATTTCTTTTCTGTCAAACACCTCCAGCAGATTAGGTTTGGTACTGTCCATCCTATTCCCCTGAGAATTTCAATTAGCTCATTGCTGAATACCCAGTGCAATTGTATGTATTTGATTTCTACAAATTCATTTGTCTGAACTGAATTTTTATGACTTCATTAACTTTTGCAATGTGTTGCTGTATATCTGCAGGTGAAGCAACATTATGGGGGAGGGGGGCAAGGATGGATCAAATCCATTCAGGTATCACTATAAAATAAATAAACTCTCAACTTTAGGCTATGAATGTGGTCTGTGTGTCACAGCTTATGCCCAGTAATTTTTTGATGTTCCTATGAACTTCTGCAACGACTTCCTTGGGTGAGAACTATGAGACAGCAGAGCCCACAGGGGAGCAATGAACATGGTAGAATGGGGCTATAGGGTATAAATCACTGCATAGACAGTCCTCAGTGTCACATGGGGAGGGACAGAGGTCTCATGCTTGCTGTCTTAGACATGAGAGTTGCTGCATGCTCCAAATTGTTTGAATAACGCAGAGGTACTGGGCAGAGCACCTTCGGCTCTGTTTGCTAAAGGAGATTGTTATTCCAGTGAAAAAAAGGGTAGTATAGAGTCGAAGTCCTCCCACCAACCATCTGTCCTAGGAATGGCTTCTTGGTGAAGAAGGGACAGGTGCCTTAGATGTATCTGAGTCCCCTTCCAAATGCAAAAGGAAAAGCTGTAATATGGGGAGACCATATGGTTCAATTTGATCCTATATAGAATAAATGAGGCTTCATCCAAAGTGATTTAATTTTCGATGTGACTTGCTTTGAGTTTCACTAACTAGCGTTTTCCTATACTAACATTTTACTTATGTTTTTTTTTTAGTACTAGACATTGCCAATCCAGGTGCATAGCACAGATGCCATTTTTCACTGTAGGTTTTTCAGGAATATAAAACAACTTCTGCAGAGTGCCCACGCTTGAAATATTCATAGATTTGTGTTTATGACATACTGAGGGCCAAGTGCTGACTTTGTTTTTATTCATTGAAAATTTAGTGATCATCTGAAAAAGAGCTGGAGGAATGGATGGATAACTTTATCAAGTATGAATTCTGGTAGAGGCCCATTGTAAGTCCTGGAGATCTCAGGCCAAATTGCTCTCTTATGCAACACCAGGCTCTGAAGTCAGCTCTTCTTTTTCTGCATAGCTGAGGAGGTGCTGTTTGTACTTGCTGATAAGCCTTTGCTCTGCCTAGCTTTTTTTTACCACGTTGTGGGTGGTGATGGAAAGGTTTATGTGTTGGGCTTCTGTCACTCCATGGTGCAGTGTCAGGATGAAAACTAGTACCACACAGAAATACCATATGCAAACAGAACTAGACATGTTGATTCAAACCTAGAAAATACTCTTATTAAGCGGTAGTTTTCTTTCAATAGCTGATGAGCACTGAAAAGAGCAAAAGTACGATGAAAAAGCATTGAAAACAGTGCTATGAAGTCAGTTTTTCTTGCTGGGTTTAAATGCTGAAGCCTTTAGAAGAAAACACAAATGTTTTATTTCTTTCAGGTCCTCAGATTTTGGGACGTTATACACAAAGTTGAACCTACAGCCTGGGATTGCCACTGTTATTGACAATTTCTACATTTGTCCCACCAACAAAAAAAAGGTATGTGGCAAAAGAAATTACATTTTGTAGTGCAGCTGAGATTCTGCATATATGTGTTTTACAAGTTTTTGAACTGTAGGGATGTGGTTTTCACAGAGTTGCAGGTCATCTTAAGTGCATTTGTGACATATTGAAGTGGGATATTTATTCTTCCTGAATAATATAGAAAGGAAAAAATACCTGGATGGACTCTGAAAACTTCTGAGGCCATTGAATCCTGGCAATTGATCTTCCCTGGAGTTTTCCATAGAAATCAAAAGAGAACTCCTGTAGGTTTTCACACATCCACGCAACTTGTGGGACTAGCATTCAACCTCTTCATCCTTTATGTACAAAGTCCTTTGTGTGTTCGTTCCTTAATATAAAGATAGGGGTTAGGCAGGCTGTCATTGAGAATGATGTTTATTCTGTGTAAAACCTTGATTAAAAAATCAAAATCCCCTTTCTTTGAAACTCTTTCTTAAAAAATGTTCCTGCATCATTACCAAACTAAAAAGCTTTTTACGAAGCCCAGGAAGATTAAGTGGACTTTATAAGTGAGAGTGAAATCGACCCATTGAGTGTATTTACAATGGATGTTATATTAGAAGCAACAGGAAGAGCAATTATGAAACAAAAAAACAGCAAACCTTCTGTGTCTGCTAAGTGCTTGTGGTTTAAACGGTAAGAATTGTGAAATACATTGGGAATAACAGAAGCACAGTAGGTTATTTATGAAATAAGAATTTTCTCTTGATAAGGGCCTTTTAACTCCAGGGTAATACAGAAGCATTGATTTCATGCAGAGGCCACTGATTGGAAGGACAATGTTAGTTGTGTTTATCTGTCTGTTCTGCTTAATCAAAACTCAGTGGAACTCGGTGAGGCTGCCTGGATGGTTAAGTATGTGTTTTATTTCTCTTGCAATTGTCACTGGAGTTTTTGTGCCCAATCTATGCTGTGCCTGAGCTCGGTAATATATTTTTGATCTGCTGCAAAGTCAGAAATGATATTTTTGCTTCTTGAAGTGGAACTACCACCAAGCACAGAGTTTCTGCAGATTGTGTGTCTCAGAGATAGCATCTCCTGGCGATTTCAAGTCCAAAAGAATAAACCCCCAAATCTTTACTCATCTCAGTTTCTGGAATAAAGGCTAAAAGTATGAGATGGATGAGAGCCCAGTGAAGGTTTTTTCTCAGCTCACCCAGCTACTATATAAAAACCTGCACAAGCAGAGTGGGTCAGTGGCAATGTGGTTATGCCAGTTGTCTGACAAAATAGTCGTGAGATCACTGCTGAATTTTAAGCCTGAAGGACACACCAGTGTACACAAAAAATCTCGTTAACTTTATCTTAGAAAAATCTATATTCTGCTCAAGATAAGGTCTTAGAATTACATAGCCTGCTTAGTAAATTAATATCATATTAAAATCTATCCCTTACAGAAAAGCGCCTTTGAGCCAGTAATTGCACTGTTTTTATGCTAAGATATTCTTTTACAAAGATGTTGTTCAATAATATACAAACAACAAAAGCAGCACAGCAGAAAGGATTTCTAGGGTCTGTAAATGATGCCAGAGGGAGATATATTTATACATGCAAATGTACATACAAACACGCATAGATGGTATAAAAATGGTGAAAGCATCGTGGTTAAATGCTGTAGGCAACAGCTTCACACTGGTCTTGGAGGTCTAGCACTGATTAGTGCAGGCATCCCATAATGTACCATGTGGGAGAAATAATTTGATATGTATCCTCTGTTTTCTAAACCAGCATTATAATTGCGATTTGGAAGTTATGCACATGATTCATGGAGTATGGGATTACTCTTTCCATAGTGTCAATCTGGAGTCAGCTGAGCAAAGCAAATTCTTTCTGCAGAAGAGAAAACCTAGGAGAATTCAACTTCACTAAGCTAAATTATCAACAAAATAGTTAACATTTTTATAGGGCATATGCGCTGTTAGATGTAGGAATCACGTATTTGCTTTAATTCTGTTTGTATAATGTGTCTGGGAAGGAGCTGAATGAACACACTGGGGTTTTTCCCACATTCAGAGCTTATTTTAATTTTAATTGGTGTTAATGCAACTGATACATCCATCCTTCTGTTTATATGTTTCTGGAAAAGAGGCAGCTAAGCAGTATATATTCAGGCTTTTCGTATTAAGAGAAAACAAATGTTGATTGTGCGTACACTGACTTATTAATTAAATGGGTTGAACACTTACATTTCCCAGCTGTCACAATAACCAGTAGCTGCATGTTTTTTCCAGACTAAAAGGCAAGATGACAAATATGTATTCTTGCTCGACAAACCACGCAGAACACTTAAGATAGCAATAAGGATATAGCCTCTCCTGTACAATATTTTAACTGCTGATACTTGAAAATAGTATAAATTAGACGATTGCAAAAGGGTATTTGCTGCAGCTATAAAAGCATTTTCTGAGATGCATCTGGCTTGAGCAGTGTTTGTAAGCACTTACAGGTAAATGCAGTCCTACAGCATTTTGACATTTGTCTTTCAGAGCGAAACAGTTGGTAGTGGAAGTTGTCAAAATACAGTGTGACTACATTTACTTGCAAGGAGTAATTCTACTGAAGCATCTGTTTCCTTAGAGACTTTACCAGAATATAGAGAGCAGAATTATCTTACACTTCTATTAGTACAAGTTGTCAACTATGGAATATTGCTTTCAATATTGTCAGTAGTTTCTTCAGGAAGGTTTCACTGTGAAATTGCAGAATACGAGTCTGTACGTTAAGATGCCTCATCTCCCAAGCATGATGCGTTCTTTCCTTATAAGCAGTGTCACCATTCAGTTTTATTCTAGTCAAGCACCACCAAAGCCCTAATGTAACCTAACTGCATCGTTTTGCTTAAGACTTCTGTCCAGGACTGCTCTGTTCATCTTTAGATTTTCCAGAAGTATGCTTATTTCAGTAATAGAATGTTTTCCACCCTTGGTTTCCTGGTGAGTGGATTGCTGTGAGAGGCAGTCCTATGCAGAAATCCTGGATTTTATTCACACACAGCTGATGAGCAGTTGCCTAGTTGACAGCCAGGGAGCTATTAAATCAAACGGAACTCAGTAGGCTAAAACAGTCAGAGCTTTCACTGAGCTGTTAGCTAGAAGTCACCATCTATTGCAGAGGTTCATGTAGCACCACTGAAAACAAGCCATACAAGGGGAAGATTTGATGGGCGCTATTTGATGGGATGTGAATATGTATATGTGGAAAAAGTTTGAGAAACAGAGTGGAACACTTGGAAATTAAAACCATGGATGGAACAGTCACTACGAGTCTGGCTATTACAACACTGTTTGAGCTATTTACTTGTTAAATGGAAGCTAGGAGCGAGAGCTTTCCCTGGTTAAGTCCTGCTATGTTTGAGAAACCAAGGCTTTTTCACAGTTTGTTTATAAACAGGGCTGCATTTAAAAGTGTAAATTTTATGTGGTTTTCATTGTCTAATTCCTTGTAATAAGTCAAAAACAGTAGTGGTGTTGCTGCTTTGTTTAAGCAGTAACTCTCTCTTAAACAATAGACTATGAATGCATTTTTCTATCTAGTTGGAGAAGAGTTCTCTGTACAATATGGAGCAAAGTTTGGCTTGTTTTCCATTAAAATTTTGCAGGCACTCTCCTTGCATTTCCCCATCCAGGTCTTCTGTGTACAGAGCCAGAGAGGAATCTCCAGCTTTTGTGGATTAGGCACACTGTTGTCTTTGAATACTTTTTGAATGCATGTCTACCAGAACATTGAAGAATATAGTTTGAAGCTGCCTTTGACCTATACATTTTTAATAGTTAGCACCTGGAATAGACTGTGGTCAAACGTTGCACTTTGCTTAAAAAGAGAAAAATAAAAAACCAACACAAAAATCCCAGACCCACAAACTTGGCTAACAATACAAGCGAACACAGTACACTGCCATGGCTAGTGTGTAGGTTTGCCATAGTATGTAGGATATTTACCTGTCAAGGTAGAGGGTGTGTGGGCTAAACGGGTGCACACTTGAACAGACATTCTGTGTTATTATTCTATCCTATAATTTATTTGATGCTTAGTGTAGAGATCTCATTTGAAGTTTCTGAGATTGACCTTACACTGTGATTTTGTAGCCTAATGTGCAACTTTCACATTCTTTTGTGCTCAGGCATACAATTATTCTAAGGAAAAATAGTCCTGTCTTTACTGCATACTTATTATAGATTCTTTTGTTCTGTTTTTATGAATTTCCTGTCTAAAACTCATTAATCATAAAAGCAGACCAACAACTACCAAAAAGCCATAATGTTAAATTAAGTTTACTGTAGTGAAGCCAGATATAAAAAGAGTAGTTGGTGGGAGTACAACATAAAAAAGATTTATGTGAAAATGGAAAAGACCTATGAGCAAGTGTTAAGAGACCATTGTGCATGTAATTCTGCACTTGAGAGACATCCATTTCCCTCCCAGTAATTCTAGGAAGAGAAGGAATCCAAGCATCGTATTTTCAGTAAGGTTTTATTTCCTATTATGATAAGCAGGGGTCATTGCTTGGAGAAATAGGAGTAGTCAATCAAGATCATGTAGTAGAAAGCAGGTCTGAAGCTACCCTCAGCACCTGCGGTGATGTATGCTGCTGAGTGGGTAGGTGGTCAGAGAGGAGCCGTAAACAGGAAAGCATAATGTTCCATGCCTAGAGGGGTTTTAAGATCTGGAATTTTTTGTTTAGTATGTCTGAAAATAAGGACAATTTTGCAAAATTTAGACCAGGCTGTCATTTCAAAGCTCTTTATTTTAAAATGTAGATTCTTAGGCCCAAACTTAAATCTCAGCCAGACGTCAGAGAAAAATCTAAGGGGGCGGTGGTAGGTTTACAGTGCAGGGCACTAGGCAAGTTCATGTTTGCCTTGTCCAGCCTGCCCATGGGCTCACTGACCTGAAAGTACTTCTTCATTTTTTCTCTGCTTGAGATAACAACTGGGACACATGTGCGCACATCCCCCAATATAGCTGATCAGCAT